AATAACAAACAGTATTTCGTTAAATGGAAAGGGTATCCAGATAAGTTTAATAGCTGGATCATCCAAGATGATCTGAACCAACTGCCATCATAAAATGTTATGTATAATTCTATTACTCCTTATTTGGCATGGATCAGTTGTATGTGTTTTCATAACAAGTGGTAAAAGTTAAGTATATTAAAAGTGATAGATATGACACATTTTGTTACACAACTCTTTATGAGTTGTACCTTGTGTATGCAGTTTAATTGTTGTATTAGGCTTTTGTAATATTGTTGACATCATCTTACTCAAAGCTTTAAGTGTTTCTCGTTATGTGAATATTGTAACTAGAGGGCTAGATATTTCTAGATTTCTCTGCCATGTGTTATAAATACATGCAGATACAGAGAGCAAGTAAGTAAGTTAGTGAAAGTAAAAGTGAAGACTGACTACGTGACCCGGCGCGGACAAAAGATTTGTACCTGCCAACACCATTTCATACCTTTATAAATCAGAATGTAATGTATGCTTATGTCAAAGAACGTTTACGGAACATAGTGAATTCCTAAGACATATTAAATCTAACCACAGCAAATTAAGAGTTCTATATATTTGTAGTAAGTGCAAGAAAGAATGGAGCAGCATTTTCAGTGTATCCGGCCACTATAGTAAATGCAATGGACCTGTTAATGTTAATCAGCATGCCCTTTCCTATAAATGTAATGATTGTTCAAAGAGTTTTGGTACCAAGAGAGGTTTAGCCCAACATCATAGACTTAAACATCCAGTTTAACGAAACAATTGTGACACTTCGTTCCAGAGCAAGATGGTCTAATGAAGAAAAATTACCCCCAGACACTCCTAATATAAATATTATTTTAGCTTCAAAATTTCCTGATCGTACCCGTGAAGCAATCAAAGGTAAGATCCAGTGAGGAGCATAAAATTAAAGTGCAGGAGCAGCGTAGATTATTATTCACTCTCTCACCTATACATGAAAAAATGACCAGTACTCATTTTAACTCTGTAAATATGACGAGTATAGTTAATAATTCATCTGCAAATAGTATTCACCATGACGACTGTTCGACCATTTACATTGAACCCGAAGATTATTTCGTTCCTGATCTATTTTATGAGAGTGAATCATCGAACTTATCTTTCCTAGACTATATCACGTTATTATCTTCAGAACTACCACCTAATTGGAGAAGTGTTGCAGAAGTAATTCAAGATAAACAGCATAATCCCATGAAAATGTGTAATTCTTTACTGGATTTTATATACAAATTCTTTGATGGGAAGAAAACTCGTACCTTTTTGAAGGATCATCGTGGTAAACCTAAAACTAAAGGACAAAGAAATAACAAGAACATTCAAGTTAAGAAAGAATTTAAGAATATGCAAAACCTATATAAATATAATAAGAAAAGGGTGTTACATCTGATTTTAGATTCGACTGATCAGGATACCTTACCTTCGGAAGATGATGTTTCACAAACCTATGCTAAATTATTTTCATCACCATCTCCTATTGACGACCATCCAATAACAGATGTGAAGAGCTCCATTATTGATGACTCTTACCGAATTATTACTATGGATGAAATCAAAATATTATATAAAAATATTAAGAAGAAGTCTCCTGGACCAGATGTAATTATCCAAAAAGATTTTAAGATTATTCCACAAGTAGTTTTATGCATTTTATTTAATTCCTTCTTGTCGTATAATAACCATCCTCTACGTTTGAAGAGATGCAGGACTATTTTAATTCTGAAAAAGGGTGATTTATGTCGTGCTACAAACTGGAGACCCATTACAATAATGTCAACCATAGTTAGAACATATCACTCTTTACTCTCCAATAGAATTCACAGAAATGTTCACCTCAATCCAGTTCAGATGGCCTTCATCCCTTATGATGGAACATCTATAAACACTTCACTTTTGGATTATGTTATTAAAACCGCTCGTAGGAATTCGAAAGAAATACATATTATGTCTTTAGATATTTCCAAAGCCTTTGATTCCATTTCACATCTTTCCATTAGAAGAGCACTTAGAAGATTTAACATCTGTGATAGCATGTGTGAATATATTATGAACTCATATCAGGACTGTGTTACAGATATAACGTTAAAGAATATTAAGTTAACGGAAGTTCTCATTAGACGAGGAGTCAGACAGGGTGATCCATTATCACCTATTATATTCTATATGGTAATAGATGAATTATTCTGCAAACTCAATCCTTATGTCGGTATAGACATCGAACAAAAGATTTTACTAGTTCTGTGTTTTGCTGATGACATCACCATCTAAGAGCAGGGTGGGTATGAATCATCAATTGAATATTTCATCTACCTTTCTCTTACAGAGGACTCTTCAAGTAAATTATAATATATGTGTTACATCTTTATGTCCCGAAAATAATGCCACAAGGGTTAAGACCTTAACCCAGTCCACGATAGAAGATTATCCTATTCGCCAACTACAACCGGATGTATTTATTACCTATCTTGGTATTAGATTTGCTCCTAGTGGCAGAGCTGACTTAAAGATTTATATGAGAAAAATTGAGGAGGACATCAAGAAGATTCAAAATGCTTGTCTTAAGTCCCAACAGAAGCTACTTATATTAAACAAGTTTTACATTACTCGTCTTCTACACGTGCTATCTTTATCTAAACCTAGTGCTAAAGATCTGAATTTGTTAGATAGAATCATAAGAAATAAAATCAAGGATATATGCAAACTACCCCATTATACTTCGAATGCAGCATTTTATATTAAATCATTTGAAGGAGGTCTTGGCATTATTAACTTTAGAGATTTAATTCCACATATCATCATTAAGTGGTTAAGAAATCTTGAGAAAAAGAACTCCCCTGTCATCAATGCCCTTCTTGCTACTGAATTCATACAAAAACAACAAGATGCAGCACACAAGCTCTGCATTAAGAGGAAGTGGAGAGAAAGGCTACATCAAGATGCTAATTGTCGGGGACTTGAAAAAATAAAAGGTTCACCAGTTAATGCTCTATTATCAGCAGGAACAAGAGTTGCCCCCGGATCTACATTTATCTGTCTACTTAAACTCAGATATGGTCTTCTTCCAACAAGATGCAATATATATCATGGAAGATCAAGAACTGCAAAGCTGGATGTATTGGAAGAGTGGAATCCTTGGCACACATTTGTAGTTGCTGTAGTTCCACCCACCACACCCGTATTATAAGCCATGATTTAGTATGCAAGAAGTTATATGACGCCTTAAGAAAAACTAAGAGATATAAATCCCTGATTCAAGAGCCACGGATATACGATGCTAAATTAGGTGAACTTTACAAACCTGATATTGTACTTATCGACGAGAACTCAGTTCACATTATCGATGTAGTTGTATCCTGGGAAACGGGTTATGAATATCTAAATACCCGATATGATAGTAAAAATCAACTATTATAAGAGCAAGGATAGTATCACTCAATGGTGTCTACGGCAATGGCCCGGTAAAACGATTCAGTTTATGGCCTTATCAATAGGATGCCGAGGAGGAATTTCATGCAATAGCATATATGTTATGTATCAAATAAATCTCACATACAAACAAATTTAGATCTTCATACTTCATGCAATGGAAAAATCCTTAAGAATCTATAAAACATTTCTCAAGAATATATCACGTAATGAATAAGTTTCTACTGTCCTACACTGTTGAATACTGTTAGTATTGCATACATTACAGTAAATGAAGGTTGAATTACCTATACGCCTACGCAGGGACACTGAGGAGGGATCTGAGGAACAACACCTCTCCTCAGTTCCATCTATATTACCTTGTTGAATTTAAAAAAAAAAAAGAGAGACAGTTACTCCAGCCATTTACCCGTGCTTGGTTGAATTTCTTCGCTTTGACATTCAGAGCACTGGGCAGAAATCACATTACGTCAGCACCGTCCAACAGCCATCGCAATGCTTTGTTTGGCTGTGGTTTCATTACCTAACAAAAAGAAGAGACACAAAGGTCTTGCATTCAGAATCACTACAACTAAGAGATAGGGAACATCAAACCTGTAAGTAATTATGTCCCTTCTATCCCAAGAAAAGTCCTATCAGTGTACAAAGTCAGAGCTAGACTTATTCTCTTTTCCTCCTAAACAAATAGTGATTGAGGAGGGTCAGTGGATGGAATATTATTCTCTGTCATTGGTGACTGAAAGTGAGCCCATCAAATTTTCTATATCAGGATTGGGAGATGAATACATAGATCTGGCACTCATATCTGCATGTGAAGGTAAAAATTGTTAAATGTGATGGAACAGACATAGAAACTGATGATGAGAAATCCGTTCCTTTCAATCAATTTCTTCAATCTCTATTTTGCACATCTGAATGACAAATTCTTTTCTTCACCTCACTATCTCTATGCCTATAAGCCATACATAGAAACACTACCGAGTTATGATGTAGAAGCTAAGAGAAGTCATCTGACTACATCTATGTGGGTAAAGGACACAGCATATAGTTTGACAATCACAACTTTCAAGATATAGATAACAATGGAATCAAAAAGCGACACTTAGATGACTGATAGTTGTTACTTTAAAACCATGCCTCATACGAAATAAAGATGAATTTTGAATTATGTTGAGTGATGAATCAGGTTTCAAGATTGTTCTATAACATGTTTCTACCTATGTTAGGAAAGTAAAAAGTGGATTACAGTAGAGGATTATATGTTGGATTACTATTGCTGTCACATAAAGTAAGCTTTATAAAAATATCGGGAGCAATACAGTAGCTACGAAATTTGAGGTTAGGGTATACTGTGGGGGTGAGGGGGTAGTACTTGCCCTGTCATTTTTGATGGGCTATACGCTAGTAATGATATAGAATATAATTATTCAATCCTATACATTTAACCTCTTTCTTTACAGTGAAAATCAAATAGCTCTTGAATAAGTTCACTATTTTCAAAAAAATCAATGAGATATATATTTTTAAAATCACACCTGCTATTTTGTTTTTATCCACTTGACTCAGAGCAGTCCATAGATATAACCAGATACCTTTAATGTTGACTGAGATAATCGATTTCACAAGCCCAGCAGTTCTCCTAAGTTTTTGTATGACAGGGAATATATGTTTAGTATAAACTTCAAATAACAATTTATTAATGTTATCATTAAGTCAATTACATGTAGTTTTTGATCCAATTTGTTTTAACTGATTTAACCACAAAGCGATAAAACAAATCTGTTCACATTAACCATACCATCTTTTTTAAAGTTATGAGACTTGATATATTATTAACATTATATTGGGTTGTAAACATAATAGAACATTTCTTTACTTGTTGCACACAACACTAATAATACTTTTATGATTATACAGACCAGAGTCCTCATTGGATTTCAGGTGTACAGCCCTAGTCACTGTTGGTATCAATCATTTAAATTCTTGCCATTCAACATGCATAAAAGTTAAGCCTTCTTTGGTAGGATATAAATTGCCATTTCCATAGTCTCTATATTAACGAATGTGTATCTTCACTTCTTCATTAAATAGAACAATTAATATGCCAGGCTTTTTACAGTGGATATGCATGAGAATATTCTGATGGTTTGTCTCTCTGAAATACATGCAATGAATCACATCGTTGCACCACGTGTGAGGAAGGAAGTTTACAAGATGTCTATTAAAGAAAATATGATGGAAACTGAAAGATGTATTAGTCACAATTAATGTAGTTATTTCTAAACAATAAGAATGGAATATGTATAAAACAATAGAAATAACAGTAATGAAAACAGAACATTTTTTAACGAAAATTCGTTTTACCTTTGTTTTCCATAATGAAGATGATATATGAAGTTAACTCTCTCTCTCTCTCTTGAACTAGTTGTAGACAGAATGAATGTAAACCCCTATTCAAGTCTCCTACAGTAAATTGAAAACATCATGTCCTGCTTTTACTCTTTAATTATCTTCTATTATTGTCATTACACACACAACTGTTATTTCTTTACACTATAATTGTGCTTTATGACATCCTTCTAAACTATAATTATCTACAATTATTGTCAATAATTGGCATCAAGTCATGAGAATCTGTCATTACATACTATAATTAGATATGATTGATTTATGTGAAACTCCAAACACACTATAGTTGTCAATAACTGGTGTGACATCATGAGTATCTGTTATTGCATACTATAGTTAGATGTGACTTATTCATGCAAGCCTATAATTATTGTCAACTATAGCCTGTCAAAAATGATGGGTTAAGTACTACCACCCCTACCTTCATATTTCATAGCTAACTGAAGTAAATACATTTTGCAAGAGGCAGAAAAGTGCAGTTGAGGCAGTCAAACGTCAGTAAATTCCTTTGTGAGCCAATCAAAATTAAGATCATTCATGAAATGAATTTGTGACATATTTATAGAATAATTATTGGTAAAAATCAGGTAGATTAACAACCTGTAATATATAGAAAAGCCAGTGTGTTTTGGTAACACTACATTCCAACAATGGCTTTTATGTCATGTTAATTAGTAACAAAAGTATAACCTAATATTGTTTTTAGTCTATGTAATGAAAGTATAAAATGAAATGTATAGACAACAAAACTGGAAAAATATTTGTTGATTTCTTAATTTAGTCTCTGTTGATTAAAGAGGTATGTTTTTATTAAAAACATTTGTGATATAACAGAAAAGAGATTAATTCAGAAATGATTTAAGTTTAAAACTGAATCAATATTTTTACTTTCATGATAAATTTTATGCACTTGGCTGTAGGCTAGGTGATCACACACTACGTCTTTACTTTAGGCTTATTATACCAATGAACACTACATTTATAAAATTTCATGGCCCCCTGGCACCCCCATCATTAAAATTCATAATTGGCAGGCAGTAATCAAACTATTCTATCTGGATAAATGCATTTTGGCTTTTATATCTGGATAAATGCATTTTGGCTTTTATGACTCCTCCTATTTTGAGAAATCAAGAGTGACTTGACACACACTGGCTTATATATATGTTAAATAATTAGTATCACTTCCTTTAATTATCTGTCATTACATACTATGCAAATGAAAATTAATATCTAATTAATGATATATTAATTAATTGCATGATTAACATTTAATTGATATGCAAATTGAATTAATTAATATGTATATCTAATTAATTAGGTCAATTAACTGTTCTACCCCTCATGCCATAGTGAACTTCTATGTTCAATGACCCTTAAGACCTGGAGTGGTGCATGTTTACTGCCACCGCCAGAGTGCCATACTAACTACTCATAATTTTTTCAAATGTAAAGAAAACTAAACATTATTACATATACAGTAATGGGAATAATTATGGAAATACACGAGCAATATACATACTAGAATCACAAATAGAAAATAGCAATTAGATGGTAAATTCCTTAATAGCATAAAACATCACACCAGAAAACAGAAAAGCCGGTAAGTTGTACAATGCATTATACCTTGTTTTAATCCTGAATACATGTAATCAATGTACAATTATAGAATTTTGTTCCAAATTTCCTGTATTATTCCCTGCAACATAGCCAGATGGTCACCTTTTGACCTTCCCACTTTTTAAATAAGCCCATACAGCTCTAAGACTATACTTGTTATGACTTTGTGCAGGCCAAGCCTTAGTTGTGAGTGTTTCATAGGACTCAAAACATTGCTTCACCACATTTGGTGTAAGCTTGGAATCATTGTCATGGTGGAAAGATGAATTCTTGCACAATGAGCTGTATTCCTCAGGGAATGGAAAGATGCACAAGAATGTGCCTGTACTTGTCAGCAGTCAGTGTGTCATCAAATATTCTACCAAATTTCATTTGTTAATCCCTTTCATTCAACTAAATAGTACTTAACTTGTGTGTGAATATCACATATATATTTTACAGTGTAGATTTTAAGTGTTATTGTGAAAAGCAGTAACAATCAGAGACTACAATGCATTAGGTTAATCTCACCTTATGGTCCACTAACTACAAACTTAAATTAAACTAATAGCAGCTACTAAGTTAGAAATGTTATATTTCTGGCTACCACTAACCTCTACAATTGAGGCAACATATGTGTGTGGAACAAATACAAATAATAAGGTTGCACTACTGCATGCCAGTTTTCTACTACGTTACTCGATACATGTAAAAATCATCAGATATTTCTACTTGAATATTTTTCAGCATTCTGAATACATGATCTATTATGAATATATTCAATTTTATTTATTAGTGCATTATGGGTCCTTTAAAGTGTAAAAGTTAAATATTGCAGTGAACGTACCAGATATAGTAGATACTGCTGTGAATGTGATGGAGGATCAATTGAAATGCAACTGGTATAGACTTGAGGAGGGAGACAGGTAATGATGTCAATACTTCAAAAAAGCCCAAAAGCAGTGGTTTCTTTCGTGGATAAAAAGGAGTACCAATGTTATGGATTTTGGGTAATGTGGAAAATTGGGTAAAATAAATCTTGAGGAAACAAAGTCCTTTCTTTCTTTCAGCATCAAAAGACTGAATTTTTTTACTGCAGTTTTTAACTTATTATGAACCAAGGTGATGGGGTCCCTTTTTTTATTTGTTTGTAAACTGTTTTAGCCAAAATTACAACGTGGCTTCCATTATCTGTCTTGATAATTACAAAGTTACATTGTTTTTTAAAGCCCATAACTGTTCTACTTTATCCTTACTTAAATTAAGTTTAGGTTTACCTTTTTGGTTCAATAATTCATTGGCTAGTTCTGTTATAACTTTATGTTTCATCCTATCATTAACTGCTACTATTTTAAACATCTTCCTGTTGCCACAATAAATTCCCCTCTCTCTCTCTGAAAAATTATTAACTGAAAATTTTTAGTCTATACTTAAAATTTCCCTTTGATTAAATGAGACATTCTCATTTGATAAGTTAACAACTTTAGGGTCGACAGTACTATATTTATCCTCCAAGGTTGGAATTTCATTGTTAGATTTACATTTTAAACTTTCCTCTTTTTTTCTTAATCAAGTTATTCAGCTTATTCATCACTTTCACCATGTTATTCATTCTCAACTTTTTGCTATTTAACCATGTATATAAATCCAACCTGTCCTACAACATTCTGTGCGTGTACTTGGTGAATTTTTCAATGCAAGTTGCATAGTTTAAACTTCTGTTAAGGCAATCTCATCTCTTTTCTTTGATCATGGTTTTAAGAATTTTGTCATAAGTTATTGTTCTACTAAAGCTGACTCATTACTTTATATTTATCTACTGCATTTTTTGTTCCTAGCTCCTAAATGTCAAATTTCTCCAGGTTTGACTAATGTAAATTTGACCTCAGACACAAAAAATTTGGTTAATCCTACATTTATCAACTTCTATTCTATCTTTTATACCTGTGAGAAAATTATTTAGTTTACAACACAGAGAGAATGTTACACTACATTCTATATATTTTTGGATTATGTTGCCTCTTCATGTTGAGAAACAATCCCTCATGTTATCAATTTTGTCATTTCCCTTTAACTTTGTATATGATGACATTTTAAATTTATTGTTATCTTTTTTGTGCAATCTATCAATAAGTTTGGGATTATGTCATCTATCTTTAGCTACGTTTCAGGTAAGTTAACTCTGGTCTTAAAGCACAATCATGAGTGCAGATTGTTGAAGCTCTAAACACAAATGAGGAAAAATCATATCATTTTTGTGTCTGTGGGTGACATTATCTATTGTGAGGTGGTACAGCAAGTTAAATAGTATATAATGTAAACAAATTGCTAATACAAATGAAATGCTCATTTGTGTGCATTAAATGGTCATTCTGTAAGCAGTTTGAATTTAAGTGAAAAGATCTTGTGATGTCTATAAACAATGTACAGGGTGTCCCAGGAGTCTGGACCCATAGGGAAAATAGACATTATATTATTAAAGTTAAACACATTTCTAATGACAGTTATACATATTTTACTAAAGAAAATACCATGATGGTACAATATATCAAGAACTAATTAGTATATGGCTGTTAATGTCATGCAATTTGAATAAATAAATAAATTAAGAATCCATTGTGCATTTTTCCCTATGGGTCCAGACTTTTGTTACACCCTGTACATAAATTCTTCCTCCACTAGCAAAACTTTATATATATTTCATATGGAGAACTAAATATTCATTTGTTGTGGGCCTTATATGTATTAAAACTTTTATTCTTTAAACACTGAACTGTTCAAATACTAATCTAAACAGCATTTTCTCTCATGTTTGTATATCGTTTCATGTAACAAGCTATTAGACACTTTATAATAGTATCAGCAGCTGATTATTTACACAGTTTAAATTATCTATTAAGCAGTATTTTATGCTGTGGGTTTAGGAGAAACATCACTAAGGAGTGGAGAATATTTTAAACATCATGAAAGCCTTGTCCAATTTGACATAACAGAAAGATTATTTGATGATGGATCAATAAACCTATGAAATTTCTACTCATATGCTGTAACAACTACAAAAGAAATCGGTTACTCTATGTCATAAATTAGATAACTTGGAAAATGTAAGTGAGGGTAATGAATACCTCCAATACAAAACCTACAAGAATACTGTACCACTAACTGAAGTTTCTGAAGATTACTGATTATCTTTTATAGTGAAGCTGGTACAAAATATGAAAAAAATGTTGTTACAGTTATGTATAAAAAAACAACAATCTTAGACTTTTGCTAAAGTTGTCCTCTTTCTTCTATCTTGTTGAAGGGCTTGTTCCATCTTCAATTTATGTTGATGTACATTCTTCCAGATCTCATCTTGTTCCTCCAAAGAAATAGTGGATCGATATTCTTTCATCATATCATACTTTTGCCATTCCATTGCTAGCTCTTGAGCTCGTTTGTAAAATCTCTCTGGTAGGCCTAGATTTTCTACTCCTTTCAGGTTAAACCTTTCCCATCGAGCATACCATGGACGAGGTTTCAACTTCACCTACAAAACATTTAAACTTATACTAGGTTTCTTCATCCCATTTTTTTTTCCTAGGAAATTAAAATTATGGATATTTTAACTAATAAGCCTGTTAAATAAATATTGAAAGAAAATTCAGACATAATGTTTTAAAAGAAAATAAATATTTTGGGTATATGTTATGTTACAGCTCCTTGTACCATGTAACAACGAACAAAACTGAGTTTACATGTTGAGAAGCACCATCTCAAGAAGAAAATAATGAAAAATATTATTACTTTGATGGGATTAACAGGCACAGGATTACTCTCCAAGTGGACCTCGGGTTCCATGTCAAATGGAAAAGTTGAATATTCAGGTAGAGCATCACGTAAGTAGATAAGGTGGTCATCTAATCTTTTTTCTAGTCGTAGGACTTCAATCTTTTGAATGGTTGGGTTGTACAAGTCGTATCTGATTTCAGTTCCTAAATAAACATTTCTCATTGCATATAAAAGTTTTTTAGTTGCATAATTTTGAATTTTATTTGTAATTATTAACACATAATGCATACCTCAGGGTGGCAAAATTTCCTGATATATTGCCTATTTCTGCAGAACATTAACTGCAGAATTTGAACACTGAAATAGGGCATTTAATACCAAAATAGAACAGCAAAAAATAATTTCAAGGGTTTTTTATTTTTTTTAGGCATAAATACTCGAACATTTATGATCATTTGAAATTGCAATTTTGGCTACATTTTCCAATTGTAAGTAACAATTAACTACCTAGTTAGAGAGAGAGTAGATTTAATGTTTATAAGTGAGGCTTGCTATGAAATATGTAATCATGCCATCAAACAAAGGTTAGAAAGGAAACTCCATGGACATGCAAAGGAAAAAGCAAGAAGCTTATATAGTCACTTTGATTAGCTCAGTGTGAACTATGACACAGAGTAACATAGTCACCTGTCAGAAAAAGCCTCCATTAAAGGCCACCCACTTCCTAAATCTGTAACATCTAGCTTTTTCCTCACTATTTTTGCAGTCATATACTATAAGTAGGTTTAAAAACCTATAGGTAGACAGAAACAATAATTACATTCAAGACAACCCAGCAATAATTAAAATAAAGATGACTTCAACGAAGCCAAAGTTTATAATTCAGCATATTCCTTATTGCCTCTCAAAAGCTGACATTCAGGAAGACAAAACATTATAGTACAGCTAGAGCAATGACAGAGATGATGCATTAAAAATTACAAAATCAGATGTATTTTCACAATAAGCCAACAAACCTTGGATAATTGCAGCAATAAATGGGAGCTTCAAAGTTTTCTCTCCTCTCACAACTTACGATCAGGTAGTTTCTAAATGAGATGACTGGTCTCCAGGACCACAGACAGCGTGGCTTGTTATTGCTGATTGGCCAAATTATAACCATTAAAAAGGGGAATATAAATGGTGAATGAAACACCCAAAGGTTCATTCGGTGTTACATATACAGCTAAAGAGGTCTGGAAACATACCAAATTTGAAACATGCTGATCCAAATAAAGATTTTTCATTTGCCTTGTAGAAATAAAATAATCCTTCATAATTCTTGGTTACTTCAATTTCTAAATTAAAACACAAGATCAACTTTAAAAAAAAAAAAAGTCTCACCTTGATTATTAACAACATTGCGGAGTGTAAAAAATGATCGAAGACCATGTCCCTCCCTTATGATACAGATTCCAACAAATCTATTTTGTTTCCTTGGTGCACAAGGATCAGAAACTGTCACTGCCATAATACTTCCTGAGTGATAAAAATACATTTCTCAAACACACATTTGTAAGAAACTAAAAATAGAACACTTTTTTTTTATCTGACATAATCTAATATCTATACAGGAAAACTTATTTTCTTAGTAAAACAGCACTGATTTAACTGATTTTTTCAAAAAAGCTCTCATCTCAAGAATTTCTTTATCTGCATCATCCCATTCATCACCTTCAGTGTGGTATTCTAAC